GTTTCTATTATATGGAACACTTTGGGGAGTATAGGTATTAGCTCTTCTTTGAAGTTCAGGTAGAACTGTACTGGAACTATCAGGCCCTGGGCTTTTTTTGGTTGGGAGGCTTTTGATGACAGCTTCTATTTCCTTGCAGATTATAGGTCTATTTAAATTGTTCACCTATTCTTGATTTAATTTTGGTATGTGGTACCTATCCAGAAAATTGTCCATTTCTTTTACATTTTCCAATTTTGTGGAGTACAGGTTTTGGTAGTATTACCTAATGTTTCTCGGGATTTCTTCAGTGTCTATTGTTATGTCCCCCTTTTCATTTCTGATTTTGTTAATTTGAATATTCTCTTGTCATTAATATCTCTTAATATCAAGGGACTCAATTTACTTATAAAAAAGGCACAGGCTAACAGAATGAATACGAAAGCCAGATTCATCCTTCTGCTGTATACAAGAAACACACCTCAACCTCAAAGACAGATATTGTCTTAAAGTGAAAGGATAGGAATATATTTTTCAATCAAATGGACCCAAGAAACAAGTGGGTGTAGCTATCCTACATCTAACAAAAGAGACTTCAAACTAAAATTAGTCGGAAGAGATAAAGAAAGACCCTTCATACTCATCACAGGAAAAGTCCATCAAGATGAAGTCTCAATCCTGAACATCTATGTCCCAAATACAAGAGCATCCACATATGTAAACAAAACATTACTAACGCTTAAAGCACACATTAAACCCCTCACAGCAATAGTAGGAGACTTTAACATCCTACTCTCCGCCAATGAACAGGTCAACAAGACAGAAACTTAACAAAGAAATTAGAGAATTAACAGATGTTATGACTTAAAAGGATTGAAGAGACATCTATAGAACATCTCATCCAAACACAAAAGAATATACCCTCTTCTCAGCACCACATGGAACCTCCTCTCAAACTGACCATATTCTTAGTAACAAAGCAAACCTCAACAGATACAAAAAAACTGGATGACCCCCTGTATCTTACTGTATCATTATGGTTTAAAATTATAATTCAACAACAACACTAATTGCAGAAAGCCTACAAACTCATGGAAATTGAACAGTGCTCAATTAAAATCACCCCTGGGTCAAGAAAGAAAAAAAGAAAGAAATTTAAGACTTCCTAGAATTCAACAAAATGAAGGCACAACATACCCAAACCTATGGGACACTATAAAAGCAGTGCTAAGAGAAAAGTTCATAGCACTGAGTGCCTACATAAAGAAAGTGGTTTCAGGACAGGCTCCAAAGCCACAGAGAAACCCAGTATCGAAAAATAAAAAATAAAAAATAGAAGAAGAAAGAAAGAAAGTGGAGAAATCTCACACTAGCGACTTAATAACACATCTGAAAGCTCTACAACAAAAAGAAGCAGACTCACCCAGGAGGAGTAGACGACAGGAAATAACCAAATTGAGGGCTAAAATAAAACAGAAACAAAGAAAACAGTACAAAACAATCAATGAAATAAAGAGCTGGATTTTTGAGAAACTCAACAAGATAGACAAATCCTTATCAAACTAACCAAAAGGCAGAGAGAGAAAATACTTTAATTATGTTCACTTCCACTCCCCCAGACCCACCCCACTTCCCTGACCCTCTAACTTTGAGTCTTTTCCCCAGATATCCCCCTTTGTGGATGTACTGGGCATGTGGTCCTCCACTAGAGTACAGTTCACCTACCAAGAGCCACAACCTTAAAGGAAATCTCTCCTCCCTCCCCAAGAAGCCATCAACTGCCCATAGCTAGGGGAGGTGAGTTGGGAACCCCTTTCCACTCCTTTCTAGACTTGTTCTTTGTGCAGCAACCACAGTTTCTGTGAGTTCATGGAAACAGCTGACGCTATACATCTGGCCAAGAATCCATGGCTGGAAGCCCACAGGCCCCAGAGCAAAGCGCGCTATTATCATTCTGCTAACTTGACACACAACCAAACTACTAAATCTGAATCTCTGTACCCAGAGATCTGTGCGGTTCTCAGACTGTGGTCCTGTCGTGCTTAGAAGACACCGTTTCATTCCGGTTCTCCCCTACCTCTGGCTCTTACATTCCTTTGTGCCCTTCATTGTACAATGCCTGAGTGTATGTGTATCCGGGTGAGTGTGTGTGATACAGATGTCCCATTTGTGACTGAGCACTCCACAGACACATACTCTGCTCTGTGACCAGTTGTGAGTTTCTGTGTTAACTGCCGTCGACTTCACAAAGCAACTTCTCTGACGAAGTCTGAGAACTGCACAAATCTCTGGGTACAGAGATTCAGATTTAGTAGCTTGGTAGTGTGTCAAGTTAGCAGAATGATAATAGCGTGCTTTGCTCTGGGGCCTGTGGGCTTCCATCCATGGAATTTTGGCCAGATGTATAGCATCAGGCTGTTTCCTCCTATGGAACGGACCTTAAATGCTTTCAGAAAGCAGTTGGTTGCCCCCATAACATTCAACCCCCTAGTGCACCCATAGGCATATCTTACCACGCCAAATGTTATTCGAGCTTACAAGAGTAACAGCTGGATAAGACTGCTGATGACTCTCCCCTCCCCTCCCTGCCCAGCAGCCTGAATAGCGCCTTCCAATGCTATGAAAGTTATCCGGAAGGGAAGAAATGTCCAGGGTCTGCACCAGCTTGACTCCTCCAATGTCCCACGTTTAAAGGATGTGACATCTTCATCAGGAGTCTTACCGTCACTTGCTGGTGTGACCAAGAGCAATGGGTTCTCTGGGTCATCCATGATAACAACTCAGGTGGAGGTAGCCCACGCCTGGCACTGGATCTTTTACTTGGCAACCTAAGTCTTCTAGTGAGCATCATTCCCTGTGTACGGTAACTTCAACTAAACTTTTTTATATAAGAAATGATATGTGTGTGTACATATTTAGTAGTTTTTCATATAGCTTTTTCAAACACCCTTAGGAGAACTAAAAATTATTTAGTTATCCCTCTCCCCACTTAGACCCCCCTCCCCTTTACTCTTGTTTCCCCTTCATACAATCTGTGCTCTACTACTGCCCACCCCACAGGACTTTCTTCTTACTCCCCCCAAAGGTTCCTTTCTAGTTCCCTGGCTTCTATGACTACTCCAGGTTAAACTCACAGCTCTAAAGAGCCAGTGCTAGGATCTCAATATGAGTGAGAACATAGGTCTTTCTGAGTCTGGGTGACTGCACTCAGTGTATGGCTTTCCAGATCTGTCCATTAACCTGAAAATTTCATTATTTTATTTTATGCTACCATGGTGTCATTATCCACCCATCAGCTAATGGACCTCTAAGCCGTTTTCATGCCCTAGCTATTGTGAATGAGCATGTGCCTGTGTTGTAGGAAACGGAGTCTTCTAGGGGTGTTCCCAGGAGTGCCACAGCTGGGTCATGTGACAGTTCTAGAGTAGAAAGGCTTTTAGAGTTGAAATTAGATATTCATTTTTGTTCTCTATAGAGTAAACCAGCTCCAGTGAAACAATCCTTCAGTATGCTGTGAGTATGTATTACTCTCATTGGCTGATAATAAAGCTGATTTGGACTATAGAAAGGCAGAATGAGGTTAGGTGGGAAAGCAAACTGAAAATAGAGAGGGGACAGAAAGTGGAGCCAGGAGGATACACCAGCGAGCTGCCCAAGAAGCAAGATGCTAGAGGACCACATGGCAATGCATAGATTAATAGAAATGGGTTCATTTAAATGTAAGAACTAGCTAGTAATAAGTCTGAGCAATGGGCCAAGCGTTCTGTAAATAATATAAGCTTTTAAGTGTTTATTTGGGACCAGGCAGTTGGGACAAAGATGGAAGAGGAGGTTTAAAGGCGGAACTATGGACCTGGGAGAGCCCAGGCACGTGGAAGGGGTTCTTCTGATGAGCAGCCCACCTGGGGAAATTGAATGTATTGTTTGTATAACAATACAATTTTCTTCTTTGTAAAACTGGGTTTGATTTGTTTTGTTCCTTGGTTGGTTGACTTCCTGAGAGAGGGTCTGTGATCACCATTCTTGGTTGTCTACTGACTTCATCTGGAATTAACTAACACACAGTGGCTGGATACATCTGTGAGGGATTTTTCATAATTAAATCATTTAAGGTGGGAAGATGCACTTTTAATCTGGATCTTTTGAGGTGGGAAGATCTACCTTAAATCTGGCCACACCTTCTACTGACAGGTATTTAAGGATGCAAAAGAGGAAGTTTGCTCTTTGTTTGCTTGCTCTCGCTCTTGCTGGCGAGTTTATTCCTTCACCGGCCTTGGGTTCTACTTCTTCGGGACTCCAGTGTATACTGAAGACCAGCTGAGACATCCAACCTCATGGACCGAGCAACTGCTGAATTCTTGGACTTTCCGTTAGTAGACAGTCATCATTGGCCTAGCTGGACCTCAGCCTGTAAGCTAATAAATCATTCATGTGTGCGTGTGCGTGTGTGTGTGTACATATATTCTATAAACTCTGTTCCTCTAGGGAACCCTGACTGGTACAGAGTTTTACTATGTAGTCCAGGCTTCTCTCCCTTTTGTGCCAGACCTTCTGCCTCAGCTTCCCAAATGTTAGGATCACAGGCATAAGCCACAGTTCCCTGCTGATGATGTAATTTTCTTTAACAACAACCACTAGCCTGTGGCGTAGAAGTCAAATGATGGTCTTGATCCAAGGCTAGAGTCCTAGGTGGGTAGACAAAAAGATATGGACAAAATAGAGGTAAAGGGACCGCTGAGAAAGTCTAGTCTACATAGGAAGCGGGGCTTAGGGCCAGGCATTTGTGCTGGGATTGAAATCGTGTGTGCGGGGAGGAGCTACAGGAGTAGGATGTTCCAACCAGAAAGAAAGGAGGATAGCAAGCTTCAGGATAGATGTACTTCTAGGCACACGATCTGGCCATGGGAGTGAAGCAGAGCAATGTGAGTCATAACTTAGCCCGAGGTGGGGCACAGACAAGAGAGCGTTTGCTCCATTATGGCATCATAATGGGCCTCTGTGCTGTAGACTAGACATGAAGGTAAAAAGCTGTGGTTCAAGGACCACCACAGAAGAAGAGGTAGAAAGAAAGACTGTAGGAGACAGAGGTCAGGGAGGACTAGAACTAAACGATTCTCCTGGACACTTATGAGCTCAGAGCAGCCTACGGTTGCCTGCACAAGGCCAAACTGGCTGACATTCTGGCATGGGCTGGGAAGGGCTTCATGAGCCCCCAACCCTGAGAAGCTGTGGACAACTGATGGCTTCTAGAGGAGGAAGAGTCAGTGTTCCTAAAAGGTATGGCTTCCAACAGGCCAACTGTGTTCTAGTGGGTGACTCTACACCGAGAAGCATACAGACAGCACAAACTGGATTAATAGATTATTAAAAAGGTTTTAAAAAGGAAAATACATAGATTGGGGGTAGGAAAGAAAGGGGTTAAGGATGAATATTTGCAAAATGCTTTATATATATACTATCAAATAACTAAAAAAATATTTTTAAAACAAAAAAAAATGAAAACCAAAAAAGGTGTGGTTACTTCTGAAGGAGCAGATAAGAAACCAAACAAAGACCTAAGAAAGGTAGATGTCTGGTCAATTAAACTCTTAGGTGCTTGCTTGTAGAGGTGTTGGGTGGAACCGAATGGAGAGAAGTCGGGGCCTTTGCCTTTGCAGTGAGCTATCTGTTACGCTCATTAGTCATGAGAAAGATGGGCTTTGAAAGTGAGGAGAAGGGGAGGGAACTCACATCTCCAGCAGGCCTGCTTGGGGCTTGCTCTGTGCCAAGCGCTTTGTGTGCAAAGCATTAGCTCCTGTCTCCTCAAACAATCCACTTCACGGATGATAAACTCAAGATTCAGAAAAACAAGTAAGTTGCCCAGGGGCAGTTATGAAAGCAATGAGCCGGAATCCCAAATGTCCAAAGCTTTTGCATCTTTCCGTCTGCCTCAAGAGCAAAAGCAGAGATCTAAGATGTTGAGAGAGGTTTCAGCCTCTAAGGCAAACATGGCCTCTGCAAGGTGCTCCCTCCCTGGCTCTTAAGAGCGGAGCAGGGAACAGAGAGGGGCAGAGAGGCGTCAGCTACTGATTAAATGCAGCCTCCATGAGGTCCTGTCTCCTGCACTCCTTGACTCTCAAGTGGGATAAAACAGAATTTTCAGAAATCTTTAAGCCTTGGTTTGAATTTCTTTTTCCTTTTTTCTCCTCCCCCCCCCCCTTTCATTTGTTTGTTTGAGACAGGGTTTCACTATGCACACAGCCCTGGCTGGCCTGGAACTAGATAGATAGAACAGACTGGTCTCAAACTCAAGGCAATTCTTTCAAGGCAATTCTCCTTCCTCGGTTTCCTGAGTGCCAGGATTCCAAGGGTGACTTGCATTCCAAGTTCAGAAGGCAAATGTGCTTTACTCAGCTCTTCCTCAATCCCTTTCCTTTCTCAGCTGCTTCCCCTGCCCACTGCATCATCTTGTCCTTCCCTCCCGACTTTAAGAGAAACATTTCCCCTTGAGCCCCTCTGCCAACCCAAAGCCTTCTCGTAGGCTGGGAGAAACATGAACTACACGGCCTCCCACTGAGCAGGGGACTTGGGGAGTTTGGAAACTCGCACATATTAATAGATGACATCACAAATGTGTCCTTTTTGTTTTCTAGACTGAGAAACCAAGGCTAGGAAGAATAGGGAGGACCCTAAACACAGCCTTGCGCTACCTCTGAAGAGAATCGTCATCGAACTCCGCCTTGAACTTCCACCTTGAACTCGGTAGAGTTGACACAGTGTAATTTACTGCTTCATTCTCGCCTGCCCCAGGTTATTCTTGCTCTGTTCCCTGGCTATTTGCATCCAGTGGGAGTGGCTTGCCTTGGTCTTGGATTTCTACATGTAATTACTCCACCGCTGTCCCCCAAATTATAAGGCTGTTGTTCAGCTCTCAGTTCCTTCTGTCTTTATCATTTACTCTGAGCTTTCTCCATCCCCTCTGGGAAGGAAATGAGTCACAAATGACAATAGCTGCCTCACGTCTATGAACTGCTACTTCAGCTGGGTCACAAGCACTCTGAAGACAGGCTGTACGACCTTAGACTTCATTTTCCACAACACCCCTCCTCCCCAACACTTTAGAGGTGTTCCATGAACATCTGCCTGGCTAATGAGGTTGTCCCCATCAAAGGCCCCCGGAACTGCCCAGCAAGTAACCATGGTTATAGTCACAGTGTGGAAGTGAGTCGTTGGGAAGGCCTACGAAAGAGCGTGTGGTGGTTTAAAGAGCTATAGGTAGGGGCTGGAAAGATGGCTCGGCCATTTAGAGAACTGGCTGCTCTTATAGCGAACCCAGGTTCAGTTTACAGCACCCATGTGATGGCCTACAACCATCTCTAACTCCGGCTTCAGGAGAGCCAATGCCCTTGTCTGACCTCCAAGGGCACCAGGCATGCACAGAGTATACATGCATGCATACGTGCAGGCAAGATACTTAAACATGTACAATAAAATAAATTTTAAAAAAACTTGTGAAGGGCTGTAGGTAGCAGATGTGGAGCTGATTTGAGGATTCCCTTGGGGAGACAGAGCCCAAGGGTAGGCAGGCAAAGCCAGAGACTCCTCTCACCATACATTGGCTGCCTGGAACCTCCCGTGGCCACTGATGGTCTATCTGTCGCTATTCAGATTGTAGCACAGATTGGTTCAAGCTCACAGCATCAGCCGACGCTACGTTTTCCACTTCCCCAGTAACAAATGAGTAATTCTGGCCTGATCATTATTCCCTGCTCACTACGCACATGTCAAATATTTAGAGAAAGCACGCAGCATTACGTTTACAGCTGGTAATAGGAGACCGTTCGCTCCCGTTGGCCATCCTTCTTCCTTCTGGCAGAGCCACTCAACCCTGAAGGAGACCAGCTGAAGACGTTTGCTGCATGCTGAGGGTCCCATTGCCTTCCGACAACATCCATTCTGAGTTTTTCATCTTCTTCGTCTTATGCCTATTTAGTTTCTATGCCTCTGAACCCCGACGCCTCTTCAAGTCTCACACATACACAGAAAGGAAAGTCCTGCGGTTTGAAGAGCCAAAACAGGCAAATTCCACCCATCTCCCCAGCGTCTGATACTGGACAGAAGGGCAATCTCACCGATGGCGGGATGCCCTGAGTGTGGTAGGTCCTATAATTCAGTTGGCCTTTGGATCATGGAGGCTGTTTGGTACCCTGTGCTACAGGCCAGGAGCCCAGTGCCCCGGGCTGAAGAGCCTGTCTCCTGCCCTTACCATGCTTGCAGGGTATCAAGCTGCTCACTCCTTATGGCACTTGGTGTGTGTGAGTGGTGGCGGGGGTGTGGGGTGTCATTATGGTTTATGTTGCTAATGTGATTTAACGTCAATGTTATGTTCTCCAAAAAGCCCAGGATGAGAACAAAATGAACCAACATAAGCATATTAACCAGCTCTCAATTCGAACACGTATTTCAGTACAATCACAGGGAAACAAATTTGTTATAGCCTTGTCTAGATTGCACGGAATCTCGGCAGACTACCTTCACGATCCACCTCTTTTTCCAGACTCCTTTTTGATAATTCTGTCTAACACCTAACACAGCTTAAATTACAGAGACTGTCTTGGGGACTTTGTGATCTATTAGTGAAGCATTCCCGTGACCCTTCTCCTCAACCTGCAGCTACTACTGAGTCTTAGAGTCTATCGTTTCTTGGACAGATTTTCATAAATCCTGATTTATATGTAGTCATATAATTCCAATTACATTTATATTTCTTATTGTAGATGAAAGCTTTCCATTTTGAAAGTGTTGGCTGGACTCACCTGATTCAGAGGGAAAAATTGAACTCTCACCTCAAACAGCTTTGATTTACAACTCCTCCAGCTATCGGAGCTCTAAAAGCCAGTTTATGGGTCTGGATTTGAGAATTTGCTCCTTTTAATTAGGTTTATAAATCCCTCTGCCTTGTCTTCCACACGGCTGTGTGCGGACCTGACCTTGCTCTCTTGAATTGCAAAATCTATCACATGTTTGACTAGCAGTAAATCTATCCTTGGAGGGTTAGCAGGTGGCTGTGGTCTATCGAAAATCGTCAAAAAATCGATGTTTCAAATGCTCTCCAATGAGGATAAAAGAAACTTAGCCCGTAGGTTTCTTTTCTGTATCTGGTTAGATTTACTTTAGGAAACATGGTATTATAATAGACTCCTAAAGAGAAGTTAAAATTTGGGAAACACCCTAGAGAAAGGAACTCTATTAAGAACGGACACTAAGGATGATACAGTAGGTTGGAAGAAAACTCAGTGACGTGGTGGTGTTTCTTACCTATCTCACAATCCAGATTTCTAGAAGTTTCCCCAAGCGTGTCTCCATTTTAATCTCCTTAAGGTCAGAAGGAGATGTTTTTCAAGTTTTGGTTTTCAGAAACACTGCCTTATAAAAGTTGCAAAATGTCAGGACCACTCAAAACGTCTGCAAAACAAGCCCCAGCTTGCCATGCAGACCTCTGTAGAGCCACCTGACTGTCAGGCAGGATCAGCAGGCAACACCCTGCAAGATGGTGTGGCCAAGAGACCAACTCCCTTCTGAGAAAATGGAGGGTTTCAGTGCTTATATGACAGAAGAAAGCCACAGTGATAACTTTACATCCTCAAATAAACTCCTACTTGCTCACGGGGGTTCTGAGAGAAGGAAGAAGAGTTGGTCTAGTTAAAGGAGACAGGGTTCCTCCCCCACCCATCCCAGCCTCTTGCATATGGACCAGCCTGTTTCAAGGTTATGAGAAGTTGTTCACAGCACAAGAATGGCTCTTGGGCATGGACAGCAGTGCCTCTGAGGTTCGGTGAGACAAAGAGTCAATCATGATGTGAAATATCACTGGATAGTCCCTAAATTACGGTTTCAAAAATAGGCCAACCACTCAGTTCACAGGACCATGTCAAACCCTCAGTCTGTAAATTATTGATCCTTCAGGTTGAGTCATGTTGGTTCTAACTTAAGAGAGTCTGGGGGTAACTCATGCCAAGACCCTGGGTTTATAGCTAAGTCCGGTCAGCAGTTACAGACTGCCTCAGCAGCTCCGGAGGGAGTGTGTGGTCCAGCACAGCCAGCGAGAGAGGGGAAGCAGTGCTTGGAGAGCATCAGAAGGTGGAGCACAGTTTGTCACCCAAGGCTGATCAATGCCAGGGCTGTCATCCATGCGTCACTTCTGCTCCTGGCACAAGTGCGATTTGCTCCCCAAAACACTGACCGAATGGGAAGTGGTGGGCCTTGAGGGCCCATCGGAGGATTTTAAAATGTCAAACGTAAACCTTGGTTCATGTGAATTCCATTCTGTCTTGTTCATAGTTGGGTCCCCAGCCTTTGAGGACTTACACACAGCCTCACATACATGTAAGTACGCGAAAATTTTCAAAGTATTGTGAATTTCTATGAGGCAAAACACCTAACCCCTCCCTCTAGGTTCCTAGGTATCTGGCTCACATCAAGACAAATGTCACACATGCTAATTACCAACAGTCCCAAGGGCCATGGGAAATACTGGAGAACATAACAACTATGGTAGAACTGGGTTTTTAGAGCAGAGTTCAAAGTTGCATGTGCATTCCACTGTTGAAATCCATGTACTTTTCGTATGCAGGAAGAGGTGCTGCAAGCGTTAGTCGTGGGTTTTCTGCAGAGAGGAACCAGTAACAATGCCTGGTTCTTTGTACTTGTCAGCATTTTTTAGCTATTTTATTGTTTTTTGCAATAAATATGTATTATGTGCATCGTTTCAAAGAGTTTTTAAAGAAATAATTTCAAAGTCAAGCATGAGAGCACATCTGAGAAAGAAGAATCACAAATTCCAACTCAGCCTGGGCTACATAAACCCTATGTCTAAAAAAAGTGATAACAAGTAAATATCTGGGGAGATGGCCCAGTTGCTAGAGTTCAGATTCCCAAACCCGTGTGGAAGTCAGGTGGGCATGGCAGCCTACCCATAAGCCCCAGAGCAAAATGGCTGGCCAGACTAGCTGCATCGGAGAGTCTGGATTCAGCTGAAGATCCTGCCTCAGTGGGAAAGGTAGAGAGCAATTGAGGAAGATTTTCAGTGTCAACCTCAGACTTTCCATGTACGTATTCACACATACATGCACAGCCCACACATGTGCACCTCATGCATGGGCAAATATGCACAAACAAACATACATACATATGAAAAAAGGTGGGGAAAGAAGGAGGAGGAAGACCTTGCTGACAGAATGGTGGAGGTGTAAAATTCGGAACGGGCTTCTCCATAATGCCGCAGTCTCCCCTGGGAAACTGCATATATTTTTACGACAGAGAGATTAATAGAGAAAATTCTTCTTTTTAGCAGTTTACATTTGTTTGTTTGTTTGTTTGTTTGTTTGTTGTGGGGTGTTTGTGTGTCACATGCAGACTCTCGAGCACATAAGTCAGGCTTCAGTGGAATCATACTTCAGTCTGTTCTTGGTGCCCTCTTTGGGGTGAGCTAGGCATTTGTTCAAACCTCCCCCAGGGAAAATTCACACAACACCATGCTAACCAATGCTGATGCTGCTCAAAATCTAACCTTTGCATTCTGTGGGGAAGGTCTCAATAGTAAATAAGCCACTTCTGCAAAAATGTCATTTATTTAGGAAAAACATAGTCACTGGGCCCCCAGAAACTGCAGTGGGAACCCAGGAGAGCCTGTTTCACTCTGAGGTCTTTTTCATGAGTCTGCAGATGGGAGCTTGAAAAACTCGCTACTTCGTCTTCCCCTGCTCTCACATTCAAGGTGTCCAAGAGGACTTCTGTCTAAAAGCTCAGGCGACAACTAATCACACCATAAATCCCGGTTCAGAGGGCAGCTGGAGGCTGCCTGCACCGCGTTCTGTCGAGCTCAGAGTGCCCAGGGCTGTTCAAAGGGGCCCACGGGTCTTTACGTCAACCGTCCAGGCCCGAATAGCAGGTTCTTTGTGGAGAAGATGCCATAGAGGAGTCCAAGGGGGAGGGGAAAGGCTGACTGTTAAATCTGAAAGAAATAGTACTTTATAGCTGCCCATCGCTCTGAGTGTAAGAAACTTGAAAATTGCCTTTCTAGCCTATGGTGTGGGAGACTTGTCTGTATTCTGTCAATCATATTTTAATAAAACGCTGATTGGCCAGGCAGGCAGTATAGGTGGGAAAGCCAGACAGGAAGTAGAGGTGGAGCAAAGAGACTGGGAGTATTCTGGAAAGCAGGAAGCTCCCTCCGCAGTTCTGCCCAGACCACCGGAGAGGAAAGATGTAAGCTTCCCCACTGGAAAAGGTACTGAGCCATGTGGCTAACGTAGATAAGGATAATGGGGTAATGTAAGTTATAAGAGCTAATAAGTAGCCTGACCTAATGGGCCAATCAGCTTTATAACTTATAGAGATCTCTGTGTGATTGATTTTCTCTGGGACTTGTCAGCTGTGGGGTACTGGGCGGGAACAGATACCCCAACAAGCCGGCCCTCATGCTACAATCCTAACAACAAGAAAAGAGAAAAAACAAACAAACACAAACTAAGGGCTGGGGTGATTCGGTCAGGAAAGCGTTCACTACGCAAGCACAGAGACTTGAGCTCAGAGTCCCAACACTCACAGCCAAGCAGATACAATCCCAGTACTGAGGAGGCAGTGACTGGGGAAGCCTTGGCGCTCACTGGCTAGTCGACTCAGTCAAATGGGTGAGCTCCAGGTTTAGTGAGAGATCACGTCTCAAAAATAGGGTAGAGAATGACTGAGGAACACGTCATCAACTATCGACCTCTGGCTTCCATGTGCGTGTGCGTACACACACAAACACACACACATACACACTCGCACATTTATACACTTACACACAAGACATACAAGACAAACTGAATAATCAACAGCCCTTTTCATTCTCACAAGGAAGTGTGGCCACAGCGCAAACTATTCCCTCTGAAGTAAGAGAAGCAGGTGGGTCTTAACACAGGAAGGCAAACAGTACTGAGTGCCAGACCCCTGCTGCAGCCAACCTGGAATAAGCAATTTAGGTTTAGGTTAACCATAACTGACAGATTCCCAGGCTCAGTAACTACTCAAAATGAAAACCCCCGGGGAACCTCTGCTTTTCTGAATCCAACCCAGTTCTCACTATAAACACGTATGAAATTTTCCATGTGTTCCTGGCTGTTGGGGGAGGAAGAAAACTCATTTGGAAACACTCCAAAGTACTTGCTTAATGTGGTCTGCCCTCAGGAGAAACTAGGTAATCAGGACCCAACTGGCCAGAGTTTCATCAGAAACTAACTGGCTTGAGGGACAAGAAATACTCACTTCCAGCCCTTCTAGTCTTCCCATTGCACTGAAAACCAAGAAAATAAAATGCACAAGAGAAATTTCAGGGCCAGGGCCTGGGCTACAAAAGCCAGACGGCTACCCCAGAGGACTGTAGGATTAGCAGAAAAGAGGGTGGTGTTGTTCCTGAGGATAGAACACAGGTGTTGTGTAGCTAGGTGAGTGCTCTCCAGTCCCCTATAGGATGGATCTCTCTTACCACCTCCTTCTGATTATAATAAGTCTGATTATTATACCAGTACCTTTACCACAAGCCATGTCCAACAATCAGGAAATAATTACAAGGCACACAAATCAAAAAATATACTCTTAGGGATGTAAATGAAGGAAGCCCTCAGTTCCATCAGAACCAGAAACCATGCCTATAATCCCAACACTCAGGAGATAAGAAGTTCAAAGTTGCCAGGCAGTGGTGGCACATGCCTTTAATCCCAGCACTAGGGAAGCAAAGGCAGGTGGATCTCTGTGAGTTTGAGGCCAACCTGGTCTACAGAGAGAGTTCTAGGACAGGCTCCAAAGCTACACAAAGAAACCCTGTCTCAGAAAACCAATGGGGGGGGGGAGTTCAAAGTTATCCTTGGCTACATTGTGATTTTGAAGCCAGCCTAGGCTACACAAGACCTTCCCTCAAAAAAGTTTTTAAAAGAACATCCTTTGAAAGAGACCCAGTAAGTCTCAGACCCACCCAGTTACAGGGTGGGGATGCTGAAATCATCAGACAAGGATCGTGAAATGGCTGTGACTAAGGTTTCAAGGCTCTAGTCTGACAGGTAAAGTAGACAGCCAGCATGGAAAGCCAGACTGACAACCCCAGAGCAGGAGGGAAGAATGCCTTTGATGGGCAGCCATTTGGTGGACCAGACACTACACAGGAAAGCACCCCAAACATGAGTATCTCAGTGGGGTCCAGACTGAAACACAAGGAGAACAAAGAATGAGGAGACAAGAAAGGGAGTGACATCTGTATAATGGGAGGACCAGGAAGCCGCAGATGAAGACAGAAGAGGAGAAATGTTTGAAGTACGGGTGACTCAGAATTTTCCCCCAAATTATTGTCAGAAAGCAAACTCCAGATCTGAAAAACTCAGAAAACATCAATCAGGATAAATGCAGAAACAAAAAGAAGTAAGCAAGCAAGCACTACGGCCAGTCTTATCATTTTCAAACCACAGAGAATCAAAGATGCAGTGGGGGGGGGTGAATGTTGAAAGGAGAGGGGGAAATGGCATCCACTCAGGATCAAAGATAAGAAGACATCCAAGTTTTCAGAAACCCCATAAACAAAAGGACGACAGGATGATGTGTTTAATGCACTGAGAAAAACCGCACCCCACCAGCCTTCTGCTCTACGCCCTGTGAAGTTCTCTTTAGAAACGGAGCAAGAAGCAATTTCTCAGGCAAAACAGAAACACGGGGAATTTGTCAGAAGATCTGCCTTGCAATAAAGGCTAAGAGTTCTTCAAAGAGAAGGAGAATAATACAGAGCAGAAACTCAGATCTACTTGAGCATCAAGGACAGAATAAATAAACACGCAACAAAGTCATTTTTCTCATTGTGAATTCTCTTAACAAATGGTAGTTTGCTCAAAATATTAATATCAATAATGCATTCAATTGCATATTCTTATGCAAGTATCTCATCTCATTTATTTTTACACTTGTGGATGTGTACAATGATGCAAGTGACCAGAGAAAAGCTTGCATGGTGGCCCATGCCCTGTAGTCCCAGCACTCAGTAAGTAAGGCAGAACAACCCAGAATTTAAGACCAGTCTCAGATTCATAGCAAGATCCTGTCTGCAAACAATAGGGCCGGAGATATAGCTCACTGTTAAGAATGTTTGTCCAGCACTACAAGGTCCTAGGTTCAGTGTCAACACTGCAAATATAAATAGCAACAAAAAAGTATTTAGGGATAAGGAGGTATATTTTTCAAAAAGAAATGATAATATTTGATCATAGTTCATGTAAATGTGCCCAACCTGAAGGTCAAATAGCATACGGAAAAATTCGATAAACAACAAGAATGGATGCGGCAGCTGTGTAAGTAGAGATTTCAATATCTTCTATTCACAGACGAACAGATCAAACCGGCAGGAAGTGAGGAAGGGCATAGCTGAACTCAGTAGTACTACGCTAACCAACAGGGATGGGCAGCTAGAGGTTACTTTGTCCAGTAAGACAGCATCCGCACGCTTCTCACATTCACGGGTGAAGTTCACTGGAGCAGACCACATTGTGAACCATAATATCCGGCTTCCCAAATGTAAGGGTAGAGACCGTGCTCTCAAACCACAACAAAATTCAATTTAAACTAAATAGCATGAGAACAGAGAGTTGGTTCAGAAGATTGACGTTGGGTCCCCAGCGTCCAGAGAAAAGTCTGGGCGTGGTGGCACACACCCGTAACCCAGTACTGGGGAGCAGAGACAAGTGGAT